TACCCAGGTAACTAGCAGAGTTTAAAAAAAAAAAAAAAGCACTGCTATAGAAGGGAAGCAGCAGCTACCTACCATTCCTAGTGCTGAAGGACAGAGGGAAGAGGTTTGAATTATTAGGACTTAGAAATTTAGAAGACCCTTAGGGAGCCAAAAATCTTATTTCCAAAGAGGAAGAACAGTCTGGCTGATGGTGCTGCCTGGTGGGGGAGGGGAAATTCAGTTTGATTTGTAAATATTGGAAAAACTGTAAACTTGTTTCAGGTGCTGCTTCAGGAAAAAAACTGCTTTTTCTGGGATAAAGAAGTATTGCTGGGGTGATACAGGAACCAAAAGTAGACAAGAAACCCTTTAAAAAGATGCAAGTCTTCTCTCTTCTCTAACCTCACCTTTTCTCTCCAGTACTATTAGTAAATCATAATGCAGAGCTGGCTGGCTAAGCAGAAATGGGGCGTGCAGTGTCCCAGTGCCAGCATCACGAAGCTGGATATAGAAGAGAGAGTATGGAATACAGAGACAATGCATTAACAACTGGCACAACAATGATGCCTTCTCAATCTTTCAAAAACTCATGGGAAAAATGAGGTTCTATTCTCCTGAAGTAAATGTCATTAAATTTTTTTCTAAAAAAATATTCTGAAAAAGGAAATATTGTGAATCAGTTTCTTAAGAACCATTGGCTCAGTATTTACAATTCCAAGCTTTTTCATTTCTGATTTTTAGGGGAAAGTATATACTTAATAGTCAATTTTGCCCTATAAACCCTTGCAACTTTTTTTCTCATCAAAAAAAAAAAAAAATCTTGAAATTTGAAATATCACTGTTAGAATTCATTTTGTTCCTAGCTCCATGATAACTATTAAACTATAACTCAATTAGTATTAGGTTTTCATAGGAGTTAAAGACTCTTTTAAAAAGTGACTAAAATACAAAAAAAAAAAAAATTTATTTCTCTTATGTAAATAAAGCCCAAGGAAGTCACTCCAGAGCTTCTAAGATGGCTGTAGCATTTTCAAGGATCCAAATTCATCCATATGTCTACCCTGTCATGTTAAGTGTTACATGAATATAACCTGCCCAAGATGGCTGCTAGAACTCCAGCCACCAGTCATCATCATGAAGGAAGAGAAGAGGAGTAGACTGGTCCCCTACTTTTCAAGAAGAGTTTTTACAAGTGCCACACAATGCTTCCACTAGCTACAAAGAAGACTGCAGACTTTTGGCTGGAAATCATGTGCCAGCTAGAAAGTGGGGCTCTGTTAACTTGAGGGAGTTTGGGCAGCATAACTATTAATAGGAAACTAGCTGTCTCTGCCAGACTCTGGGAGGGATATTACCTCATCAATTGTAAGCCTGAGTGTATCAGCTCTTTTTTGAAAGCAAGATTTCATTAGCAAGAAGACTAGAGTGTATATGAGGGTACTGAGCAGGCGAGGCTACTGAATGGGGTCGATGGAGGACATTGAAGACAAACTTTCTCTATTTTATAATTTTTCTCAGAGGCAGCATAAAACCCAAGTCTACCTTTCTTATTTATTCATTTTTATTCATTTGTCTGTTTAAAGGGTTTGGATTCTATACCAGCGGAGAAGGGGTCATGTATCACACATTTGTTTTGTTTCAAAGAACTAAATTATTTTTTAGAAGAACAAGTAGAACATCTCTATTTGTGTTCTTTCCCCTCTCTTTTAGAGAAATGCCCCCTAATGCTAAGATAGCTTTTAGATTTTCATGGTTGTTATATTCATCCTCGTAAGTTTGTCTCTCCCTTCCCATGAAGTCCAAAGGGCATGGAAAAATGGCATCATATTGATAAAACATGATGCCTTCCAAGACATTCTTTAAATGGCCTATGTGCAAATATGGTCAAAATGAATAATTCAGGCCAATTGGAGTGAACATTTCTCCATGGATGCTTGGGGTGAAACTGGCTGGCTTTGCAAAGTGGTTCTCTTTTTAAACTAGCAACATTGCTTTACAACATGTCTGGGTGACAGGCCAAATTCTTAAGTGATTTAAGTATATGTAGTTAGTATTTTCTAGCACTTTCACTTTTAGAACTTATAGGATAGAGCAAATGACCATGCTGTGCCTTGTTGCATTGCCTTAGCGGAATTGCTGGCAGAAATATCATAAATTTTTCTAGTAAACACCTCAGTCTCCCCAAATTTCACTTGGTCCTAGCTACCTCATTTTCCATACATTGATACCTTTAATCACAATAAGACAATTTTCAGAAGGGCATTGAAGGAGGAATGAGGATGATTAAAGAAGAAAAGATAAAGATTCAATGGGCATTTTATGATTCTTTGTCATTTTTTGCTGCAGAGAAAATGCATGAATGCCTGCATGCATAAAGATCCATCCCTAATCAAAGTAGCGACACGGCTGCAGACTGAATGCCAATCTGGCGCCTTTGGGCAGCCTTCACTTTCACTCTGCACCCACTATTGCACCCCAATTCTCCTCACCCACCATCTGTGGCTAGTAGTACAGATTTTTCTTAAGGATACTGGTGAGATCAGGAAAGGGTATGTTTTGCACATCATACAGAGAATAACTTCATCTAGAAAACCATTCACAGCAAAATAAAATGATCCCTGTTGCTTTAAGGAGAAACGCTGTCTTTAGTAACCCTGATTTCTCACCTGCTTTTTCCATCTCAAAGATTTCTTTTCTTCTGTGCCCTATCCCCCTCCTTCCTCTCACCCCTTCCTTCTTCTAAAAGGGAGCATAAAAGCGGGTGAGAGCTTAGTTACCTTCATAAACCCATGGGGCATATGAATTGTACATTAAAATAGGGATAAAAACTTAAGAAGCTCTGTCGGTGGAATTTTAGGCAGAATGAATAATGGAAAGAGTCGAGGACTAGAGCCAAAGAGAGCTGGAATTGATTCCCAGTTCTGTCATTTAGAAACTGACTGTCTTGGGCAAGTTACTTGTCTTTTCTGAGTCATAGTTTATTCATTTGTAAAAATTAAAATAATAATACCTGTCTGATAATCATCTGAGAATTAACTAAAATTATGTATGTAAAAAATTAGTACAATGTCTGATGAATAGTTAGCATTCAATAAATATTAGTTATCTTTAACATAAAAGAGATGGATGAATTATTGGAGCAAGTCATGGGGCTTTCTCAGAATTCTCATCTGCGGGGAGCAGCATGGTGAAGAGGGAAGATTGTAAGCAAGTTTAGGGAGGTTTCACAAGTTTAGTTTATTTGATTGCAGTGATTTTTCCTACTTAAATACTTTTGCTATCTGCAACTTCTTGGTATCAGGGAAAATGGGAAACTAAAACAGGAAATCCTTGGTTAATAAGAAATCAGAACCAACAAAGCAGAGTGGTTTGGGGGATCATTTTACCCATGTGATGTTTAAAATCTAGTGAAATAGTTTTACTGGATTCTTTGTGTTCTCTAGAGCCACTTTCTCTTTTGGATGGTGATGATCAAGTGATAAATTTTGCTTCTTTAAGCTTCATTTTCTGTGTTGGTCATTCTGTTTGGGGCCAGCACATTCTTTTGTCACATGTGTTAATATCACTGTCTTAGGATCTGTCAAAATGACGAATACCTTCCTTTTCTATGCCAGACCTGATTTGGTAGCCTTAATTGCGAAGATTCACACTTTTCTTGGCACCAAAATGCAGGAACTGAGTACAGATCTCACAGCTTTTTGTCCCTTATCAACCACAATGCCTGAACAGAGTTCTGATATAACCAGCACAGCTGTCCTTGGGGTGCTTGAACTCAAGTGTCTGCCGAGGACTGTAGGGTCTAGCCTCAGATCAGGTGCTGCTCCCTCTGTGAATGGGAGCCAATGCTAAAGAACCCCTAATCCGGAGTGAGGTCATCCTTCAGGAAATGAAGAAGGTCCTAAGACTTTTGAAGATAATCTTTCTTGAGCTAGGTTGTAGACTGGGATAAAACTGACTCATGCCTTTCCCCAAGGTAAAAACTCCTTTGGCTTCTGACTGTAATGAGATCTTATCAGCCCTTTCTTCTAGTTTAGGAAGATAGCTGGCCATGTTTTTATTTAAAAAAAGATAGTTTGACAGAGGGGTAGATGGATGTCTATAAGAAGATATATCTGTGTAAAACAAGAACATGAACACAACAGCTGTCAAAGGAACATCAGCTGAAGTCTGAGCATCTTCATCCCAGGGAAGGTGTACAGATGGACCACCAGGAAGAATAGAGCCCAAGGTTGCTTTTTTGTCTTGACAATTACAGCCATAATTTATTAATATTCCAGTCCCATAATAAAGAAGAGTGGATACCTGGTGGGTTAGAAGAAGCTGAACTCATTCTGAAGGCTTCCTGATAATCTTCCTATTCAAGCTTTAATTACTTCTTCTGCTGGTTCTTAATCTTAGGCTCATGGACACTCAAAAAGTCTGGCCTGTGACTACAGCTCAAGTAAAAGAGAGATCACAACTAAAAATATTTGATAAATTATTTCAATAAAATTAGTTTCACTTGTACTAGTAAGAATTTTATATTTTGCTTTTAAAATTATTATTCTGGGAAGAGGTCCATAGGCTTCAAAGAACTGACAAAGGGATCCATGGCACTAAAAAGAATCCCTAAGGTAATGGAAGGAGGTCTTTTGTACTTGATCTGCAGTTTCATTAATCTAGTTTTCAGAAGCCTCAGTTCTCTCTTGCATGATCTCACCACCATGCCTCCTGGTTCATACCATACGTGTCGAGATGTGCAATAATTGTCCCTCTTCCTTTGCAGTATCAAACGAACACTGCTTTTGTCTGATACGGTAACAGTGCAATTCATAACAGAAGTGTTTTTCATATTTATTCCAACAGTTACTGAACAAATCCTATGTGTAGTTATTATGATAGCCAAAGAGGATGTTCAGTCAAAAAAAAAAATGACTGTTCTTTATCAACGTAAAATATGTGTGTGTGCCTGTGTGCACGTGAATGTGTGTGTGTATGAATGTGTGTGTGCCGTAACTTCTTGATTTATATTTCCCCTGCAGATCTTGGAGGCGTCTGAGGTTTCATGGGGACTTTCCAGCATTCCAGACTGCTGCCCTGCAATGAAGCTCTGAGTCACAGTCTTTGGGTCTAAGGTACTGGCTACGATGTGGAACCCCAGGACAGCCAACCTGACTAACCTTCACTCTAAGCAGAAGCCCAAAATGCGTCTGGCCTGAAATCAGAGCAAGCCCTAGAGAAAGCCTTCTTTGTTAATGGAAAGAAAAGAGGAGAAAAGGGTTTCCACATTGCAACAGTCTTTCCACCATTCCAAAAAGCCCACCTTTCTTATAAACCAAGCTGTTCTATTTGGTGAGTCCCATTCTAGCTTCTTGCCAGAAATAGAGCATGACAATCGGGGTGAAAAAATAAAGACGAACCCTCGGAAAAACAGACCTGGAACTGTAATTCTCTCAAAGCAGTCCAGTAGGAGGATTATGTCTGAAAGCCAGCCCAGGCCTCCCGTGATCCCATCCCGCAGGCCCGGGTTCCGGGTGTGCTATATCTGTGGCCGAGAATTTGGGTCCCAGTCCCTTGGCATTCACGAACCCCAGTGCCTGGAGAAATGGCGTGTTGAAAACAGCAAGTTGCCCAAGCACCTGCGGAGGCCAGAACCTTCCAAACCACCGCCTCTCAGCGGAAGTGGGTCCTACAACCTTCAGGCAGTGAATGAGGCAGCCTTCCAGAGTTCCCAGGCTCAGCTGCTGCCCTGTGAGTCCTGCGGCCATACATTCTTGCCAGACCGGCTTCTTGTTCATCAGAGAAGCTGCAAGCAGAAGGTTGAGGGGCCTAGGGCACCAAGCCCGGACAGATCTGATGATCTTGCTGGTCTCAAGAAAGCTTCCAGTGGCATCACAACCCGACCAAGGACTGTCATCTGCTACATCTGTGGGAGGGAATTTGGTACCCTGTCCCTTCCTATCCATGAGCCCCAATGCCTGGAAAAGTGGAAAATAGAAAATGACCGACTCCCCAGGGAGTTCCGCCAGCCACTCCCACAGAAGCCTCAGCCCCTCCCCACCGGACAGCCCAACCACGCAGGACCACATCAAAGTCAGCTCGTGTCCTGCCCAAATTGTAGTCGGACCTTTGCCCCCGACCGCCTTCCAGTACACCAGAGAAGTTGTAAAGCTCAACCTAGTGGACTGAAATTTCAGGATTTGACATTAGGGAGTAGAGGTGGTCTGAAAAAGTCCACTAATTCCAAGCCTCAGAGGAATATGGCAGCATGCCCTGTGACTGATAAGGTAATTTGTGCCACATGATGCGCATCGGGTAGGCCTGGGGATACATTCTACCTCCAGGGGAATGAGAGAACAATGCCCCTGGAATCAGCTGCCTCATCCCCTAGGATGGTTTTCCTTCAATGCCCATTTCTGCCTCAGTGAAACCTAAGTTGACCCCCTGTTGGACACTGGGGCTATATCTCCACTGGCATAGCAGATATAAAAATATCCTTGCCTGGTGAACCCTGGTCCTCTTTCATTCTGCTGCCTAAAAGAGAGATGGACTTCTTTCTTCTCTGAATCCCTCATACCAATAATCCTTGGGAGAGACTGTTATTTGAAAATGAGTCAGTAATGCTGTGTCTACATTACAGAGATATAATTCCCATTCCAACAGCCAATATTTATTACTGGTTTATTTTAGTAATCTACCTTAGGAATTCACTTTTGGCAACACTAGGTTATGCTGAGTTTATCGTACTAAAATAGAATCTGTGTCAAAAACCCCAAATGACTTTAGCAGTAATTAAGCACTGAAGCACTTGTAGAAATAAACATGCTCTAAAGTGCAGCACTGGAAAAGACCCTGATGCTGGGAGCGATTCGGGGCAGGAGGAGAAGGGGACGACAGAGGATGAGATGGTTGGATGGTATCACCGACTCGATGGATATGGGTTCGAGTAGACTCTGGGAGTTGGTGATGGACAGGGAGGCCTGCCATGCTGCGATTCCTGGGGTCGCAAGGAGTCGGACACGACTGAGCGACTGAACTGAACTAAACTGAAAGTGCAGCATGTTTTCTTTTCATGCTTACACAGCTATAGTATATGGGGAATTAACCCCCACCCAGACTAAGAGTCAACTAGGTGTGTTCATGGATCTGGGAAATGTTCAGTTCCTGCTGCTGCTCTGTACCCCGTGTTTGGGTCAGACATCAGGCTGTGACCCCTGATTTGGGCAGTTGTAAATAAGCATGACCCTAGGGGCCCCCAGCCTATATAGTGAAGTGTCACTGGGTCTTGACCTGAAATTTCATCATCAACCAGGATTGGGGAAGGTTGCTAATGAGGGTGGCTACCTGCAAGATAAGGGCTTCCTTCTGCCATGAAGTCAGGGAAGTGGTTGTCTAGCCACATGTCACACTTTACAGAACATCAAATCATGAGAAATAGGAGGCGGTCAAGGTCTTCTCTCTATGACTTGCTGCTTGAAACACCCCACCTGGAGGGGTTCTTTAAGTGAACTATTTTCAGGAAACTAGGGTAACCCAAGCTAATGTAAACAGTTAAACCAGACTGATTGGAGGGTGGGAAGGCATCCTTTGTTTTTAGTCCAATTGTTGTTCATTACTTTTTTTTTTTTAGTTGCATTACTTGGGCAAATGTCAGGCACGTTTTCCAAACTTCCATGTTTAAAATGAAATGATCTTTCACTTACTGGCTCAGAAGATTCCAAAACAATGATTCTAAAGCCGAAGAGTCAGACTAATGGGCATATTTTCCGATGAACTTGAAGAAAGAACAGCTAGTTTCTTTGCCGAATGAAAACCCAAACTCATAAGTGTGGCATGGGCTTCAGGCTGGTCTCATAAACATGAACTGTTTTTCTCATCTTTTGGCTGTTGCTTTTCTTCCAAAACGTGTGGGGTCTGGATTCAGCGAGCAAAAGAATCCATGTCTTAGAGCCACAAATCAAGAACTCTGGTTAGTGTTCGGACATTCAGCACTGTTTCCTGATTGTATGCATTTTCTTTAAATGTTCTCATTACAGAACTTGAGCTAGGGAAGAGTGTGGTCAGAATGCTCATGCTGGTTGTTGTAACACAGACTCTGTGCTCCCAAGAGTGGAGCCAGCAGGCTGAGGCAGAGCATGTTCTCACTCAGTCACAACTGCTAAAATAGGCTGGCCTGGGCGCCCAGCTTCACAGGAGGATACCTCCTGACTCACTGAGTCTTCTGGAGAGGAGACTGTCAGAACGGGAGGCCAGTGATGGCTGTCAGTGACTTTCATGTTTAGATCAGAGGGAGTCCGTCAAAACAAGGGCATCAAGAGGACACGACAGCTATGTCAGAGCATAGCCAACTCTGCTCCTGACCTGAAAAGGCACATGTCAGTGAGAAACTGGCACCCACCACCGTCAGATGTGCGTTGGCCTGTTTGGGGACCACACAGGCTTTAGTGGAGGGCATAGTAAGGTCATCCAACCTAGGGTCCCTTCAGCTGCCAGATCTGGAGCAAGCTAGGGTTCATTAAAATGGAGAAAACTCCTAGGCTTCCAAGAGGAATAAGACCTCTTGAACCAACAGACTTTATTCCTTCCCTTGAAAAGACATTTGCCACTGCATTGCGCTTTCGGCAGAAAGCCTCTCCCAGGGAACGTAATTTTCTCTTGTGGTTGCGATTGGACTCTATCTATTGCTGTTTTTCTTTTCTTTGTATTATGTAAGATTTAGATACTGCAGTGAATCGTTCATTTCCATAAAGAAAACGCCCTGTGCATTATTGGATTTCAGAATTTCATCTGCCTGTGGCGGCCGACTTTTGGCTGACTGTGAGCATGGTTTTTTCAGTTCGGACGTTTGCTTCCTTTCTCCTCGTGCCAGTTAGAACAATTTCCCTCTAGAATCCTTGATCTGACTTCATGTTAGAATCAGCAATCTTGCCCAGTGTTTTCAGGGGGCTCAATCTCATAGTGAACTCAGGTGAGAAAAACATTTTCAGAATTATGACCACAGAACTTGGAAACAGTTCACTGCAGTTGGGCAACAATGACTGTTTCGCTGGCAGAGTGAGTTACTCTCCACTCAGAGTGTTCCTCCTGCATAGACTGGCTCGGTTCTCTGATGACAAATGCTCCTGTTACCCTTCGGTCAAATTTAAACAAACAAACACCGCCGAGATCCCTAAGACAATCCCCCCAACCCGTCATCAATGGGCATTCTGCGCCAGCGCTGCTTTGCCACTCACCACAGGATGGGTTTGAACTTATCCCGTTGCTTGTCATCCAAAATCTAAGACTGAATTCACTCTCTTTGATTGCAGTGACGTTGTAAGACACCAAGCAGTATGAAAGAGGAATGACGGCCTCAAAGTGGATTTTTATTTAAAAGGGTTTGCTCTACTATTACGTGATGTCAGAGCAGCATCGCACTCCCCCTTTTCCCTCTAGGAGAAGCAAAGCCTGAGCAAGCAATATCCAGTTTAGCAAGATTTTAAAAGTCATGTTACTTGCAGATGAAATTTGATGTATAATGTGGGAAACTAGAGATTATCAGTTTAAAGTTTAACATGTGATCCTTTGATTTCTGTTTTAGCAAGCAGTGCCCTAAGTGATGCTGGAAGTGCAAGAATGAAGGTCACTATTGACCCTTATTTTAATATGAGTGAACATGTTTTAATATTTGCCTTTAATATTTGGGGAAAAGTTTGCCCTTTTCTATAAGCTGATAGTATTTCAGTCTTTGACTTAAGGCCCTCCTGGCTAACTGCAACACAGATTGATACTTAATTAAATATTACTACAACCCAGAATGAAGGCTTTGTTTAACTACCTTTTATTAGTTACATAATGCTTGGGGTTATTTTCTTATTATTTTGATGATAACATGTGAAACACTCTTTCTAAAAATCCGATACTATGTTATAAAATAGGCATTATTTTTCTTCAGGGAAGTCTTTTTCTTTTTTTAAGGAAGATTTGTCTCTCTGACTGCAGTTTTAAGCTACCCTTAGCGTCCTAGAGGTCTGAGCTGCAATCCCATCAAATACGTCTCCAGCATCTGGTGCTGCCATCTGCTGTTTTCTTTCAGAGTAATGCCTTCCACCCTCAAAAATATTATTTATTGCCTTTCTCTCTGTGTTACTTCCAAATATATTTGAGCACATGCCCTTATAATACAAATTCCATTTATTTAGGACTACAGTTATGTATTTGGTTTATCATCGGTGCTGTTCCATCGCTAAGTATCTCATTCTCCAAAGGCAAACCTCTTAGTTAGAAAGTCACAATCAGAGACTCGGAAAGACTCAGAGGGGCAGAGTGGATGGGCTCACGTCGTGCAACACTGTTAAGGTGTGTGTGTGTGTGTGTGTGTGAGAGAGAGGTAAAAGTGCTTGTGCTGTGTGCTTAGTCGCTCAGTAGTGTCTGACTCTTTGCAACCCCATGGACTGTAGCCCACCAGGTTCCTCTGTCCATGGAATTTTCCAGGCAAGAGTACTGGAGTGGGTGCCAACTTCCCAATCCAGGTAAAAAGTATTTGGAGCTTATTAGGAGGCATGCAGTAAAGGGAGATAACTTGTACTGAATGCATTTATGGTCGGTACTTTATATTGATATTCTCATTTTAATCTTCATAATATTACTATAAGACAGCTATTGTCTCCCTACTTGAGGTTTAGCACCTAACGTAGAGTCACACGATAGGTTCAGTCGTGGGTATCAGAGCCAGATGTGTCTAACTCCAAAGACCCACACCTTTTTATGTCAACAAAGAGAGAAGCTTACGTGTCATATGAAAAGGGTGGGGCTATGCTGCCAGGCTTATGAGTGTTAGTTAAGCAGGGTTAAGAGAATAAAATTTGTTCATTCAACAGATCATTCTTGTTAGGCTTTCTTGAGCTTCCATGGTGGCTCAGAGGGTAAAGCATCTGCCTGCAATGCGGGAGACCTGGGTTCGATCCCTTGGTCAAGAAGATCCCCTGGAGAAGAAAATGGCAACCCACTCCAGTACTCTTGCCTGGACGGAGGAGCCTGGTGGGCTACAGTCCATGGGGTCGCAAAGAACTGGACACGACTGAGCGACTTCACTTACTTACTTTGGACTAAGTACTAAATGTCGAATCATTAAAAAGACACAGTTCTTGATCTCATGGAGTTTTTAGCCTTATGGAAGAGGTGATATGAAATAAATAAAAATAAATATAAAATTTCAAGTTGTAATGTGACAGTCTAACGGTGGGAGGTAGACATTCAGGTTCTTGGTTAGAGAAAACCTCTAGGAGGAGGTGACATTTCAGTTGCGACATGGAAGGTGTGAAAACATTAGCCAAGAGGGTGTCAGGGGACGGGAAAGGCAGGAGGAGGAGACATTCTGGCCAGGAGACGTTCTGTGCGAAGGCCTTGAGGTAAGAAAGATCTTAAAGTGGAACTAAAAAGTCCACAAGTAGAGTCAAATTAAGGGAAGGGCAGGCACACACGATACAGCTGTGGGAACAGCAGAAGTGCCCAGTGGACACAGGGACGCCCGTTATTCAGCTGCTGCAGGAACCCAGGTGAAAGAGGATGAAAGCCTAGCCCAGGGGGTTGGTATCAGAGATAGAAACAAGGGAGAGTGGGCAGGACCTGAGAATAGTTGGGATGTGGAGGAGTAAGGGACAGGGTTGAGGATGACTCCCAGATTTCTAAATTGAGCCACTGTACCAGTTGTATCACTTTCTAAGACGGGAAAAACTTGAGAAACAGATAGGCTGTTGTGGATGAAGACCAGTTGTTCCATTCTGGATGTAACTGAATTCACAATGCTTGTGAGACATTTTAAATAGATCTGAAAGAATGGTGAAAGTTCTACAGTGGGTGGAATTGGGTAAGCACAGAACGTATGTGTAACCGGTGAGGGGTAGAAGGACAGTTTTATTTGTGATGAATGTATATGTCTTAAGTTATGAAACACAACTAACAGACATTGATAGAGGAATATTCCAGCCAAGATAATATCTTAAGACAGTGCAAGCAGATGGAGATCTATTTATGCTGTATCTCTATCATTCATTGAAAATCATTTTTTGTTATAGTCATTTGTAACTATAAGACTTTATTATTTTCTTCCCAAATAGAAATTAAAATTCCTATGAGACTGGCAAAAAAAAAAATGCTTGTGAGACATCTAACTAGATAAGTCAAGCTGAATATATAAGTTTGAATCTCAAAAGAGGAAGGGGGCTGGGATATACATTTGTGCATTGTTAATATATATTTAAAGTCATCAGAATGAGTGTAGGGCTCAAAAAATCAACCCAGGACTGACCCTGAAGCATTACAGTATTTAGGGGTTAGAGGAGAAGGAGCTGGAGAATGACTGACTGGAAATGCTGGATAAATGACTTGAGAGTATGGTGCCCTGAGAACTGTGACAGGAGGAAATGTGGAGAATAAGGGTGTGGGGGACGGTATGCAATGCACAGAGGTAGGATGAAGGATGGAGCAAGGTGAATGCCAGAAAATCTATTTGATTTGGCCATGTGGATTTAGTTTGACAAACTTGGAGAGAAAACATTCAGAGTCATGATGGGGGCTGTGGAGTGTATGGGGATATTGGATGTGTTTTGAGAGAAATTTGGCTTAGAGATCAGGAGAGAAATAATAGGTAGGCTAGAAATAGAGATTTTCAGTTAAGAGAGGCTCCCTTAAAAGATGTGAGCTTGTAGACTATATTTGATTCTTTTGGGTCAGGAGCCAGTAAAGAAAGGAAGGTTAAAAAAAGCAGGAGAGGGGATAAGAGCAAATGTAAAACTTGAAGGAGAAACAGGAACCAGGGCTGGGGTTCCAACCTGTGAAGTGGAGGGGTTTAGTGCCAGGGGATGTTTCTCTATTTCAGGGGGAGGTTGAATGCAAGT